GGCCTTCTTCCATCAGTGCACTGGAATTCGTCCACAAAGCTCCATCTTGCTCTATTACGGAGACTAGTCTGCACAATGCGCTCAATCAAAGGAACAACACGTATAGAGCTTAAGACAATAAACTACATAGGATAAATCTAGAAGATCAATACGGTCAACCAAATTTGAAATACAAGATAACATGGAATAAATTTAAAAGAACAATACAGTTACCTAGATTTGAAATACAAAGATATGACAACATTACGTTTAAATTTAAATGACATTATCATAAAGTTCAAAATTCAATTGACAATGAATCCTTTATCATGTAAATGGCCAGCTATAAATATGAGGATCATTACACGGAAGAGGGACTAGAGAAATGAGAATTTTGAGAATTTCGAGAATTTGAAAGCTAAAAGATTGAAAGTTACGCCAAAAAAAAATTAGAACCCAAAGAATCGTGAAAAGCAACAACAGTCAACACACTGTGATGGCAAATTATAGGAATAGGGTTTTAAACATATTGATTGCACTTTTTTTAGATTGTATTTAGGGGCTTTAAATCCCTAAAACTTTAATAAAATAATTCTTTTGTCAATTTTATGTCCTTCATCAATCAAAAGTTTTATAATGTAATTAAGGATTTGGAATCTAGATCGAAAATAGAAATATACAATTAAATAATTAACATTGTTTGGTCCAACAACTAAACAATCGATGTTTGTGATATAAACTTCAAAAACATCCCCTAACCTTGAGACCTAAAACAATGCTTGAAATTATAAAACAATAGATCTTATTCATTCTTGTCCACGACACACCAATTAAGCAATACCACTTCCAAGGATTATGTGGTCATTTACAACAGGTTAGTCCATAATCCGCAGAACAAGCATACAAAACAACTTCAAATGGCACAATCAACCTCTAACTTTCTAGAAAAAAGAATCTAATGTCTTTTAAAACCAAACCTTCTAAATAACCAAAAGATTACGTAAAAGAAAAACTTCTTCTAAATCTAGTGTTGACAAACTCATTGAATAGAGCAATAAACTCACTAACTTTGGCCCAACGTAGTCAAATGCTTTCTCCACTTCTTTTAGGGAGAGGGGGAATTTTCATCCTCAAAGATGAAACACCCACCTCAATTGTTGCTATGGCAAATAATAAAAAAAAATCTATCTAATATAGTATATGTTGGGCACACAATGTGTGACAACCCTCACCACTATTTACTGATAATACTACTGATTACTACTAAATTGTGACTGAACATGATTAAGTAACTGATTTGACTGACATTCTGAACTGATTGATTGAGTGAATTAGTTTAAGCGTATTTCTATCTGTTTGACTGTTAATTGATCTGTTCATGTTTTAAGTGTCGAACTGTAAATTGAAGGCCTTATCGGCGGCCGAACTGAAATTGTTTAGTGTTTCATGTTAATTAGAATTTATGTGATTTTATGGTATGTTTAATTGAAATTTGATTTGGTATGATTAAATTGGATTAAATAAGGTTAAATTACATTAGTTTAGCTTTATTACCAAATTGTCACTTAGTGGACAATCCTAGACCATTCTTTTTCTACTTCCCTCATGTTTGATATGCCATTCATTTCCCCTAGAGACCAAAAACATGAGAGAGAGCTAGAGAGTTGGAAGTAAGCTTGAGTTCATCAAAGTTTGCTTGAGACTTAGAAGATTTGAAGGAACTTGCAAAATTTGAACTTCTATACCTTGAATTGGAGACTTGAGGTAGGAGACTCACCCTTTTAATTGTGAGTTTGCGTTGTTCTTGCATGATTCATGGTAAGGTTAGTGATTTAAGGCATGAATTAGCTTAATATGTTGAATTGAGTAGGAATTCATGCATACATGCTGCCATTCTTGAGTTTTGAGGATTTTTGTCCATGGAATTCCACATGTATGTTCATATTATAGTTCTAGTTCATGAATTCCTCATGATTTTGAAAGGATTAGCTCATTTGTTCTTGTAATAAATGCATGTTGCATGTACATCATGTTCTTGAAGTTTTGTTTGGAAATGGGTTCAATTGAACTACCTTTGGGCTTTGATTTTGCAAATTGATCTTTGAAACATGTCATATTATGAGTTTTAAAGTGTTTTCTAGAAAATTAGTCCAAAATGATCGCATTTGATGCTTTAAATGTTGAGTTTCATGCTTAGAGACAAATCTGGAAATTTCAGATTTTGGATCCACGCTCGAGCGTACACTCTAAGTTCATGCAGTCCGCTCGAGTGGAAAAAGTAACGCTCGAGCATGAAATGCGTGTATCCAGTACTTTGCATGTGTTTACAGTCTGCTCGAGCAAGGAAATGCACGCTTGAGCGAGGACTTGTGTATCACGCTCGAGCGGGGGTTGAGTGCCCGTCTAGCGTGAATTTTATGCATCTAGTACCAATGTTTTAAAAACCGGACCGGTGAACGAACCGGAAAAAGGATCGGGTGGACGGGTTCAAGCCAACCACTATGCCTCACTAAGAGGTTCTAAGTCCTTCAAGCTAGGGCTTTTTGGGGTGTTTTAGATTCATCCTTTCTGTCTCTGTTTTTGTATAGACTGACTGTACCTGTACTGTACTGTTCTAATAGGGATTAGGTCCCTGTCCTGAATGATTGTATATGTATGTATATACTGTTTTGGTTCTGAATGTGAATATGTATGAAAAGTCTTTTTTTGCATACAGACTGTCACAGCTCATTAGACATCTTTTATTATTGTTTTGGCTTCTGCCAGCCCCTGTACTCTATATTACTGTTATTACTGTTAAGCAGGCCTTCGGTAATCACGGATTACTGGCCGGTTACAGTGCTAAACCTATAGGGGCGGGTTTGGGTCGTGACACAATGTCACTCCTTGCAATTGTTCTAAAAATAACCATGAGGACACAATGCCAAATGTCATAAAAGACATATGTGATGTCCTCCCTAACCCATATGATTTTGGGCAAGATGGTGGAACACAGTCTGACAAGTGTTATCAGGGCAAGCAATAGATTTTGTGTTCAAACCTCACCACCTACACAATAATTATAATACTTGTACGTGTTTGACCCGATTAAAAGAATAGTCTAGTAGTGTGAGTTGGCATGTTGAATATATAAATAATAAAGTTGGCCCCTATGAAGCACCGATCCATCTTCTAAGGTTACGTATTGAACACTGACATGCATCCAACATGTAATGGACACGTGTCCGATACGCAGTCTAGCGTGTCCTTTTTTTTCATCTCATACACGTCCTGGACACTCATTGACACATTTGAGACACATCAGGAACTGTTCAAAACCCTAGCCAGAGAGAAAGAGAGAGAGGTCCCTATCGAAGCTTAGAAGCCTTTGTTCAAGTAAAATGTTTGAGGCGAAACCATCGGGCACCATTCAAAGCCCCAACTACAACAGATGAGTAAGAGAAAAAAATCAAGCTTCCATCTGCGATGAGATCAGAAGCATCTTGCTGCACACAGAGAAGAGAGAGAGAGAGAGAGAGAGAGAGAGAGAGAGAGAGAAGAAGAAGAAGAAGAAGAAGCTTCCTTTTGCAATAAGAGCAAAAGCCATCTACTATAATACAACCAATATAAGTTTATTTGTTTGGTCTTCCAAGAAAAGAAGTGCAGCTTATGAAAGCTTCCAACTACCAACTAATAAACCTTTCACCTACCAGTCAAAAGATCAAAAAACAATTAGCATCCACCAACTAATTCCAAAATGACGTTCGAAATGATCTTGAGTAGGTCAATTGGAGTAGGTCGAGGATAATAATTCTGAATTGGCGGTTGAGTTAAATCATAAAAGTTTCTTGAACTTGGGTTAGAGTGTTGGACATGAATTGTTCATATAGATTTTGTAACATTGTGTCATCTTAGAGGACATTGATTATTCCACTATGGGCAGTAGTGTCTTTGCCTTCTCGTTTAGGAGTGGGTGGATTAGAGGTATCAACAGTAAGATAATGGATTGGTTCATTGTCATTGAGGACTTTGGTAAGTGTTTCTTTCCATTTAGTAAGTTTTGCTAAGAACTCTTCTGAAGGACTAGTAAAAGAGTAGGCCGGATAAGATAGGTTTTGAATTAAAGGAGGTTGTCGGGCTTGATCTGTTGGAACAGAGAGATAAAGTTTGTCAACTCGTTCTTTAATTCGAGTAGTTTGTTCACCAATCGTTAAGAGATATATATTTGTATAATTTAATTATTCATGTACTTGGCCAATGTCATAACTAGTTGATGGTGTTATTTTAGAAAATTGGGCACCTTCCATGGGAGGTCGGTTATAAGGTTTAGCATAGAAAGAGAAACCAGCACCTTGAATGGTACAAGTTTTCCCAAGAGGATGTACAGATTGAATGGGTTTGCACTAAGGACATGCCAGCTTTTCTAGATGACATTAAAATAAGCTAATATTAATTTTTGGGGTACAACTATTTGGTGATGGGGACAGTACTTATTGAAATACCAATGGAAGAAAGGTACGTGCTGTTGTAACTGTTGTAAGGTGAGAAAATATTCAGATCGAATAATTTGTTGTTGAGCGGTAGTATAGGTTTGCCTAAAATAAATTTTGTTATGAGAATTATATGTAGCATTATATTCTTTTGAGAGTAGGTCATGATTAATTGTGAAATCATTTTGAAATCATTTGAGCGGCTTACAGACTTTTGCGACTTGATTGCCACACAGGTTAAATGGGAAGGACTAAAATCAACTCTAAATTAACTTGGCTCTTACACCAAAAAGAAGCCTAGGTATTATAATCTTAGTGATTTAGATTAGATACAGATTAAAGATTGTAACTATTTTTGAAGTTGTTTTAAGGAAGCTTGTTCATCTTTGATTTTCCTTTTTAATGTGAAAATTCATTAACTATAATTAATAATTTATTGTCCTGATACAAGAGATAATAACAATCTTAGATTAGACAATTCTTCTTGCAAATCAGAAATATATTAACAACTATCATTAATTTCGACACGCAGTTCAGAAATCAAAAGCATAGTAAACAAATATCACACTAATATTAAATTCAGAAATATAAAAGTACAAAGAAAAAAAAAATTACAAAGGATTATAATCTTGGAAACAAATAGGACAGAGCATCTAAGATATTACTCACACACTTACAATCACAATCACAACCACACTCAGACTCACACTCTCACACTAATACTGGGTGGATTTTGAAAGCGTGGCTCTTCTTAGAGAAATGGCTAGCTTTTATAAAGAAGAGGAGTCGGATTTGAAAATGTTTGGAGTCCAAAGAGATAAGGAGGCATCTGTATTTTTTATTTTACTTTTGCTTTGTTGGTGCAGGAAATCCACTTTATGAGTTGGATTATTATTGTTTTGTCACGGGTTTGTTTTGAGTCACATGGGAATCTTCTTTTTGAAAATTATTATGATGCTTTGTCAGTATAGTTGGCAAAGAGGCATGTGATTACAAATTATTGAGGTCTACGCCTTGATAAGTGTGAGAGAAGTCATCATCAAGATTTTGATTGGGAATATGAGTTAGAGAATTGAGTAGAGATGTGTCTACAGAAAATTGTTGTCTAAGGTCGTCGCTAAGTTACAATTGGGAGAAATGATTCCAGTACAATTTTATCATAAGAATTAATAAGGCATTCAGAGTTAGCCATTAAGATCATTTTCATGTTGATAGCCTTTTTGTATTTATATTCAAATTCAGGTTTGGACACTGAGGGATTCTTGTTGTTCAATTTTATCTTGAGTTCGGCTTTGAAAAGATCATTATCAAAAGATTTGGATGATTTTGGACTGGAAGATAACATTGAAGGAGCAGGATTAACAAATGTTTTTTGCTTCCGTTGTTTGTAAAAGGACAACAGGATCAGGATAATGTTCTAAAGGAATATTGTAAGTTTTCCACCATTTGGAAGCAATTTGACGAGGTAAGATATTGGGTATTGAACAAAACTGAAATAGTATATTGTCCAACCATAATCCATGAGAATTTGAAATCAATGACGAAATATATAAATTCAAGAAAAGGAGGATCAACTTCCTTTTGGTAAATATGATAGGAATCTTAATGGCTGACGCCGAATGCCTTACTAATTCTAATGGTAAAATTGTACTGGAATCAGTTCCCCCAATTGTAACTCAGCGACAATCTCAGACAATAATTTCTCCATACACATCTCAACTCAATTCTCCAACTCATATTTCTACTCAAAATCTTGATAACGACTTCTCTGACACCTATTAAGGCGTCGACCTCAATAATTTGTAATCGCATGCCTCTCTGACAATGCATCACAATAATTTTTAAAAAGAATATTCCCATGTGACTCAAAGCAAACTCGTGACAAAACAATAATGATCCAGCTCATAAAATGGATTCCCTGCACCAACAAAGCAAAAGCAAAATTTAAAAAAATAATAAAAAAAGATTCCTCCTTATCTTTTCGGACTCCAAACATTTTCAAATCCGGCTCCCCTCCTCTATAAAAGCCAGCCATTTCTCCAAAAAAGGCACAAGAGAAGAAGAACAAGCTTCCTTTTGCAATGAGAGCAAGAGCCTCCTACTATAATACAACCAATATTTGTTTATTCGTTCGGTCTTCCAAGAAAAGGAGTGCAGCTTATGAAAGCCTCCACCTACCGGCTAATAAACCTTTTACCTACAAGTCAAAAAGTCAAAAAGCAGTTAGCATCCACTAATTAAATGGTCATAATAGCTATCTAAAATGTGAATATTTATATTTTCTTATGTCGTGATTTTGTGCCACATGAGTGAGTCAATCTGTAATGTCTAAATTTTTAATTGGTGTTAAACTATATTTTTTTTTCATAATTTTAAATAAAATATTTATATAAATATACATATATATATTAACGTGTTCTTAGCATGTTGTGTCCTTCGTTTTTTGAAAATTAACATGTCAACGTGTCTGTATCCATACTACATAGGTTAGCCCTCTCTCTACCTTAAGCTCTTAGATGAATTGGTGGTTAATAGTTCAATAGTTTCACCTTCTCCTCCCATGTCTCAATGGAAACTGAAAATGCCATGAATGAAGAAGTATTTAAGGTCCCAAAGGAGCCAATGTTGCACTTTCCTACAAGCCTGAGGCTAAGCCTTTAACTTTCCATTCTAAACCAGTCTAAACACTTTTTATTGTGTATAGATATCAGTTCTGCTACAGATACAGTAGAAAATTGTGTCTGTATTCTTATTCGTATAGATCAGTCCTGCCACGAACACACCATTTTCAACGGCATTTTCTGAAAATGCAAATAAACATACAACACTATTCAGTGTGTTTGTTTTAAGTTTTTTTATTTTCGTATTTTTTGTTTTTAATGAATATTTTTAAAATTTTAAATATTTTTTTTTACTTTTTTAGATGTACCTTACTTAGATGTATCTAAAAAGTAAAAATTTTATGAAAAAATATTTTTACAAATTAATAAATACATAAAACATAAAAAAAATATACTGAATTCTCGTATTTTTTATATTTAGTGAATTTTTAAAAGTTTTTTTTCAATTTTTTTTTACTTTTTAGGTATATGTATGTTAGGTATGTTTAAAAATTAAAAAAAAATTACTCAAAATATTTAAAAAATTCAATAAAACCAAAAAAACACGAAAAATTAAAAAATAAAATTTTTTGAAAAGTATTTTTAAAAAATGAAGACCAATTTAATTTGGGAAATCTATGTAAGGGGCTTGCTAAAATTTCCTTACCATTAATGATCATATTGATGGTGAAGATATCAGGGAGAAGACCTCTTTGCTTCATCTCCTTCTCCAACTTCAACGCTTCACTCAATCTTCCACAGTTGCAAAACCCACCAATCAATGAATTGTATGCATAATTATTTGGTACAAACCCTTTCCCCAACATTTCCAAAAACACATTGTATGCCTCCTCAACAAGGCCTGCTTTAGAAAGTCCATCGATCATGGCCGAGAAGGCAACGGCATCAGGAGACATCCCTCTACTTTGCATCTCTTCCCATAAACTTTGAGCCGCCTGTACGCCACCTGTTCTGAAATACCCATCTAAAATCACAGTAAAAGCCACTATATTGACAGGATAACCCTTCTCTATCATTACATTCATAAGCTTCCTCGCTTCTTGCAGCTTCCCTTTTTTGGACAAAGCCATAAGGAGAGAACTACATGTGGAAGATGATGGACTCAAACCAAATTTCACCATAATTTTGAAGGTTTCAAAGGCTCTGTCTTCTAGGCCTGCATGGCTATAAGCTGCAATGACAGAGTTAAAAGAAAGGACACTGATAGCTATCCCTTTCTCAAGCATATCCTCTAAAATTTTCATTGCCTCATCCAACCGTCCCGCCCAACACAATCCTGCAACTGATATATCAGACAGTGAACAATCAGGAAGCAATCCTGACATCGATAAATCCCTTATCAACCTGTCAACATCTTCTTCTCTACCATACTTGTAATGTCCAGCAACCAAAATGTTAAAAGTTACAACATCAGCAGCTACACCCTTGTTCCTCATTTCTTCATAAAGCATGTTAGCCTGACCAATGTCCCTAGCCTTGACATACCCATCAATTAAGGTGTTATACATGATGGTGTTTGGAAAGACACCTATCTCTTGAATACCATCAAAGAGTTTCCTCGCTTCCACGACATTTCCCTCCTTGCACATGGTATTAATAACTGTACTAAATGTAACAATGCTAGGATTACAACCACTTCCAACCATCAAATGTAACAAAGCCAACCCATCTGACGTTTGCCCCCTAATGCAGCATGCATTAATCAAAATGTTATAGGTATAAACATCAGGCTCACATTGAAACTTTCTCATTATATGAAATAAATTCTCTCCTATTTGGAGATATCCTTTTCTAACAAACCCAAGAATTATCACATTGAATGTATAATTCACGGGGCAAGGTCCTTTATGAACCATATCCCTAAACAACTTCCACACACTACCATAATCACCAATCCCCAGCAACAATTTGAAAAGAATGGTAACAGCTGACAAGCTCGGCGTTGCTCCAACCTCCCTCATCCTATCCACCATTTCCAGTGCTCTAGAAATCATTTCTGCATTCAAGAAAGCCCGCATAAGCGAATCAAGAACCGAGAAATCAGACTCGTACTTGTGGTGCTCTCCCCACATAAACCCCACCACCTCCCAACTCCTACAAAACCCAATTCTTGCAATGACCCACGAGAGCAAATCTTGTGCGAAAAAACGCAGCCCACCAGCTGCCAAAAGATGGGCAGCAAGGCAACATGACCGCAATGTCTCCTTCGAATCATCCCCAAATGAAAATTTGAAAAATGCAAATGCAATTTGCCGGTTTTCAAACAATTTCATGATCTGTACAAGAAAATATGGGCAAAAATTACGAGAAAAACCCTTCAAAAGATAACCTTGCTGTTGTTTGATCATCGTAGCTAACCCAACAACGATTCTTCTCCGTTCATTCGAATTGATTACAATGATTGAAGAATTTGATGAATTGCGAAGTGGAAAAGGTGAAAACTGTTGGAGAAAATCGAAGTTTCGATCGACAGAAGAAGAAGATGAAGTAGAACAACATTGTGAGAGTTGAGAATTTAGGGTTTTGGGGGGGAGAGTGAGTGTGAGAGTAGAAGAGATTAGGGTTTGTGAAGAGTGTGAGTTTGAGGGAGAGGGCACGAATGGCGAAGAGAAGCACACCTTGAGAGTGTTACGCACACGGCGCACCGTAGCAGACATCCAGCGATTCGGCGGCGGAATGCTCGCCGGCGAACTGGGCGGTGGTCGGAGTCGGAGTTCGGAGTCGGAGGTAGCAGAGTTTGGACGATATAAATTGGAAAGCGAAATATGAATTCTCACTTCGGGCTTTGAGGGGTGGACATGGCAGGGTTTGGGCCGGGCCATACTAGTTCTTCCTAAAATAAAATGGGGAATTTATTGATAAATCACATGTACCATGTTCAAAATCCAGCTAATCCCAAAATAAAATACTTGCACCAATTAGTTCAATACATTTTTAATTGTTATCAAAAAATTCTTTTTTTTTTTTTTAATTTACAGACACTGTTCACATCTTACTACCGTAGGACTTCCGTCAAACGGTTGCCGGAAACTCGTCAGAATGTTCAACATCGCCGGGAAGTCGTCGGAGTATCATCGGGAAGTCGCCGGAGTTTCGCTGGAAGTTCGCCGGAGTGTTAAGAACGTTAATGGAAGTCGCCGGAATGTTCAGAACGTTCACTGGACGTTAAGAACATCACTGGAGACTCACCGGAATGTCTAGAATATTGCGGGAAAAAAAAAAGAATAAATGGATAAATTATAGCAAAAAAAACATAGCAAAATGTGCTAAATATTGATAAACTAAAAGAAAAAGAAATGAAACGACAAAAAACAGCAATAATGAGGAAAACATATGTTATTTTTCAATTTTTGTAAGGTTCAAGCAAATAATCTCTAAATAGTGATCAAATTGAAAAGTAAGTTTTGAAACTGTAAAATGTTACAGTTTCAAAACAAAAATCTATTAAGCATTTATCCTTATTAATCAAACTGGAAAACATGTTATGAAACTGTAAAATTTTACAGTTTTATACCATGATTCATTCCAGCACCAAAAAAATTTGAAACTGCAAAATTTTACAGTTTTCACCGCCTGTAACTAAAACTCGAAAACTACTTGTTCAGAATTCGAAAATTTTCTCCATTAGAACAGAAAAACAGAAGTGGAAAAAAAAAAAAAAAAAAGAGATCGAAGGAGAAAGGCGCATGTAGAGAGAGGATTGTACTCCGGCAACCATTTTTTGTTTAGATCTAGCCAAATCTGATGTAGATCTACTCAGATCTGATGTAGATCTGAGACTCATCTTCTTCGTCGGAAATATATCATCTTCTTCGTCGGAAATATATTATCTTCGTCGTCGGTGAGAGTGAAGTCACGAGTTGATTTCGATGGTTGGCGGTTACAGTGAACCCCGATCAATGGAGAAAGACATGATCACCGGTCGTCGTCCATGACAAAGACGATGAGAGAAAAATGCAGAAAAAAAAAACGAGAGCGGAAGGGAAGCAAAAAACAGAGAGAGAGAGAGGAAAGGACTTTTGGGTGTACTCAAAAAGTTATGGGATTAAATAGTGTCCGCATGTTCCACATGGGACCTGTGGGTAATTTCCCCAGAAATTAAAAATCCCAAATTCATAATTTCTATTGGTTGATGTAATGGTAGGATCCAACTCTTTAACTTCGATAAGGTCAGATATTTTATGGGGGTTTATTACAATTCAATTAGATGTAGAATATTTGACGAGATATACTCTTTGGACAAATAAAATCCAACAAAGGAACGACTCCCAAGGAGCGGCAAGTAAAGGTAGTAAATGACCTAAATGGGTTAAACAGTTACTTATTTGAGTTTGGTTTGTTAATTTTATCGAGTTTCAAATTTTGTTTAAGTTTGGTTCATTAAACTTTCACATCGATCTTAAACGAGTTTTTATCGAATCGAATTCGAATAGTTTATTATTTTTATATAATTTTAGACTAATGAAGTATGAGTATTTTGACAAACATATCGTACCCATATCGGATACTTATTGAATACTAGTACTTCGGATTGTATTTCTACATATGTACCAGGTACACGAAATACATGCTTAAATTTTTTTTTCTTAATTTTTGACATACCCAGACGTACTTGGTATATACTTAAATTGTACTGTACCTCATTGAAAATAGTATTTTCTTATAGGTACAAGGGTAAAATCAATTTCATTGAATTTATTTTTTATTTTATTTTTATACTTAGTGTAGGTTTTGATTTCCGACCTCATAACCAAATAGGGAACTTAGCGGGAGAGCACGCGGCAGAATAGATTAAACCAAACACCTACCAACAAGAAGATAAGAATACAACGATGGCTCGTCCATCCGAAGGTACTCCGACAATCAAGTCAGTCAATCTTATCTCTTAAAGATATCAAACAAGTATTCAATGCACAAGTAAAAACATATCTTAGACCTACGGGAGTGCCTTACTTTTATAACAAACAGTACCTTTATCCCCTAGAAGTCTTACTTCATAGGATTCTATAATTACAATGATATCAGTTAACCAAGACTCCTCCTATTTGGATTAAGATCAACCCTCTCAAGAATCCAACCTTATCCAAATAGAGAGTCTATCATCATTTAGGACTCTAGTAGCCCAGTTTGGTAGAGCGGTGGAAAAGTAATTATAGATTATAGCTTAATAGATTATAGTTTACAACTGTGAACATAAGCTGGTAACTTATTTGGTGCAGCTGTGGGATTATAGATTTAAGCAGCAAAGTAATGTTTTGTAAATAAGTTATAAAATAGTTTTTTACTGTGTAATTGTCATTTTTGCCCTTACGAACATAAAAATTGTAATTTTTTCATTTTATTCACTTTAAATTTTGAAAAAGTTATTTCATTAATGGAAATTAATATAATTAGCACTTATATTGCTACATTTTTACATTACCTCAATATTTTATTTTTCATTTTAATATTGACTTCACAAGGGAACAAAAAAATGTCATTGCAATAAAAATACAATAAATTACTATTAAAGCAATAAAAATAAAACTTCATACATATTAGATAACTCCTAATTTCATCTGCAAATTAACATACAAATGTTATGTCTCCTTACTTTCATCTCGTTGTCATTACCTTCAACATGATTGCCATGGCATGCTTGTTGAGACCTTGTTCATTCCTCATCATTAGGCACATAACCCGTGAATTTATCATAAGTGTCAAATGCAATATCGCGGGACTGACTTCGTCGGATGAAATTACGAGTTGTCATTGTTGCACAAACAAGTTTGACTTGGGTCGGCCACTTGTAGTTTGGTAGGATATCCTTTATCATTGGTCATCTTGCTTTCCAAACATTAAACGTTCTTTTTATTACACTTCTAAGTGATGAATGTGCTTGGTTGAATTTTACTTGTGCATTTTGGGGGGGTTGACCATGTTCAAATTCAGCTAGATGTTATCTCTCTCCTTTGTAAGATGCAAGATATCCTTTCATGTTTTGATACCTAGCAACCACCAAGTAAAACTCATCTATTTTAAAATTTCAAATATTAATAAAATAAACTAAGCAATTATAAATGTAAAAATAAATATGAAGATATGAGTGTGGTGCATCAACTGTAGCAATCAAATATAAAATAGTTACCTCATTGTGGTTTTGGAAAATTATAACTAGGATTCCTAATTATAACTAAGAAGATCCGAGTATCATGTGTATTTCATTCCCATCCTGGTAAGCAAAATGTGAAACATATATCAAAGTCACATGTAGCCATTATGTTTTGAGTCACATACCTCTTTCTACATATTAAACGAGATTGCTTATCTGGAGATATGTATTCTTTGATGTGTGTTCCGTCAATTGCTCCAATACAATCCTATTACAAAATAGTGAATAAAAATATTTTTACTCACAGATTATTAGAAATATCCTACCAACATTAATTATATGTAACACTCAAGTTCTACTTGTAGTTAATTATTTACTTAAAATAAGGATAGTATCTGTAGTTGCTTCTAATATATGGATGCACACCATTTCTCAGTTGAGACCTTACCCAATCAATAGACATTATTGTAATAACCTTTTAACACCTTCTTGAAGTGTTTTGAAATCGTCTCACTGGAATGTTGAAATCTTTCTTGGACATTTCTATTTCGAATGTCACTGCCAACAATATACAAAAATATTGCAACCTGCTCTTGAACCAAGACTTTTCGTCCAATTTCAAGGCCATAGTTTTTCTGTAACAAATCACACAATTGATAAAATACATCTCTTTCCATTCAAAATTTTTTAAATATTCTTGTCTGATTCCCTTCTTGTAATTCTACCATCCACTTCCACACTGTTAGAGAATATGTCCGAAATGGTTCTTTTATCAAATAATTTGTCGCATATGTCACTGTAACTGTCGTTGCCATAGCAACGAGTATATTATTATTTTGTTGGGTTTACGATGTGCTACCTTCATCTTCATCATCATGATCATCATTCCATTCATCGTCATCACTGTTACTCATCTTTAAAATACCTACTCATTTAAAGGCTCCTTATTTACTATTACAAGAATGAAATGAGCACACAATGATTTTTATTAAAAATACAACTAATTATTGAAAACACAATAAGATTTGTTTACCAAAATACCTGGGGGCAAAATTATGGAACACACAATTATTGTCTCAGCAAAAGACCTACTTCAAGACAGCTAAAACACCGAAATTGATGGATACCTGAGGCCAACACATTTACATATATATGTATATATACTTAACCATTCACCCACCATTCATCTTCAAGATTCAAATAAATGCCACCTACCATTCAAATGGCATCCACCTAATAAAAATTGCATCTGAGGATAGAGCTGAATGACATCCACCTAACGTTCAAAAATTACATCTCAGAATAGAGCTAAATGACAGCCGCCTAATAAAAACGAATGCCACTTACTACTCAACCATTCACCTACCATTCAACTAACAATGACAACCACCTAATAAAAATTGCAACATCCAGCACAACCATTCAACCATTCAACTAACAAAGTGCAACATAATAAAAGTCTAACGGAATATTAATAAAAGTCCAAATAATGAGTCCAACATGAAAGTCCAACATACTCATACATAATATTAATAAAAGAAAAAAATAATGAGTCCAACATAACAGTCCACCATTAATAATAAAAGGCTTAATAAAGGTCTTAAACATGAAATAATAATAAAATTCAAAAACATCCAATTTCATAAACAATTAGCTGTGATAACCTGTGCTAGTCTTCTCTATCTCAGTCTCCAACTTTAGAAACCTCAGCCGAACTTCATCCGTAGGAAGTGTCATGAAGCACTC